AGTCCTGAGGACACAGAAATACGTATTCTAAATGACAGAGAATTCAAAATAGCTATCATCAAAAAACTCAAGTTAAAAGAGAATGTAGAGAACAATTCAATGAGTTCAGGAGCCACATCACAAGAGAGATTGAAACTATAAAGAAGAATCAGTCAGAAATATTAGAGATGAAAGACACAATGGAAGAGATAAAACAAAATATGGATCCCCTGAATGCTCAAGTGGACACCATAGAGGAGTGAATCAGCATAATCAAGGAGAGACATGTTGAAATGCTTCAGATAGAGGAAAGAGAAAACTAAGACTAAAAAGAAATGAAGAAAGTCTCTGAGAAGTATCTGACTCAATTAGGAAATGCAATACGAAACTTATAGGTATTCCAGTGTGAGAAGAGAAGGAGAATGGAGCAGAAAGCATGTTCAAAGAAATAATAGCAGAGAACTTCCCAAACCTAGGGAAGATGATGGAAATCCATGTGGAAGAAGCTATCAGATCTCCTAAATATGTCAATGTAAAAAGACCTACTGCAAGGCATATAGTAGTAAAACTGGCAAAAGTGAATGACAATGAAAAAATACTAAGGGCAGCAAAGCAGAGGAAAATAACCTACAAAGGAACCTCTATCAGGCTTTCAGCAGCTTTCTCTGCAGAAACCTTACAGGCTAGGAGAGACCAGAATGACATATTCAAATCTTTGAAGGACAAAAATTTTCAGCCAAGAATAGTCTATCCAGTGAAAATATCCTTCAGATATGATGAAGTAATAAAAACTTTCCTAGATAAACAAAAGCTAAGGGAATTCATAGCCATGAGACCGCCCCTGCAAGAAATCCTCAAGAAGGCCCTCATACTTGAAAGAAAAAAGGGAGAAAGCAGTTACAAAGCTTGGAGTGAGGTGATAAATAGGTAGACAAAAATCTGAAAATTGTAGCTATACATCAGAATAGGCTAGCAAATACTCAAGAATAGCATTAAAGATAAAGGGAAGGAAAACAACAAAAACAAAGATAATCTTGTCATTTTAATCACAAACTCACAACAAAAGATGGAATAAGATGTGAGAAAAACAACGTAGGAGGGGAAGAGGAAAGGGACTGAATCAGTTCAGTCTAAGGAAACAAGAGGCCATCAGAAAACGGACTATCTTTTCTATGAGATTTTGACTACAAACCTCATGGTAACACTAAACAAAAAAAAGCATAACAGAGACACAAAAAATAAATAAGGAGAAAACAAAGAAACACAACATAAAAAAATACAAGTACAAAAACAGGTGCACAGATCAATGGAACAGAACTGAGAGCCCAGAAATAAAACTGCGCATCTATGGACAGCTAATCTTTAACAAAGGTGCCAAGAACATACAATGGAGAAAAGACAGTCTCTTCAATAAATCATGTTGGGAAAACTGGACAGCCACATGCAAAAGAATGAAAGTAGACCATTATCTCATGCCATACACAAAAATAAACTCAAAATGATCAAAGACTTGAAGATAAGTCCTGAAACCATAAAACTCCTGGAAGATAATAGAGGTAGCACACTCTTTGACATGAAACTTAAAAGGATCTTTTCGAATACCATATCTTCTCAGACAAGGGAAACAAAAGAAAAAAATAAACAAGTGGGACTTCATCACACTAAAGAGCTTCTGCAAGGCAAAAGAAACTAGGATCAAAACCAAAAGACAATCCACCAAATGGGAGAAAATATTTGCAAATCACATATCCGACGAGAGGTTAATCTCCATAACATATAAGGAATTCACACAACTGAACAACAAAAAAACAGCTCAATCAAAAAATGGGCAGAGGATATGAACAGACATTTTTCCAAAGAAGATATACAGATGGCCAATAAACACATGAAAAGATGTTCAACATCACTAATCATCAGGGAAATGCAAATTGAAATGACATTAAGATACCACCTTACACCTGTTAAAATGGCTATAATCACTAAGCCTAAAAATAACAAATGTTGGAGAGGGTGTGAAGAAAAGGGAACCCTCATACACTGCTGGTAGGAATGCAAACTGGTGCAGCCACTGTGGAAAACAATATGGAGATTCCTAAAAAACTAAAAATAGAAATACCATATGACCCAGCTATCCCAGTACTGGGTATCTACACAAACAATTTGAAATCAACAGTCCAAAATAACACATGCACCCCTATGTTCATCGCAGCACTATTCACAATAGCGAAGACATGGAAGCAATCCAAGTGCCCATAGACTGATGATTGGATAAAGATGTGGTACATATATACAATGGAATATTACTCAGCCAGAAAAACAGACAAAATCATCCCATTTGCAACAACATGGATGGACCTGGAGGGAATTATGCTAAGTGAAATAAGCCAGACAGAGAAAGACAAACACCAGATGATTTCACTCATATGAGGAAGATTAACAAACACATGGACAGAGAAAACAGTTCAGTGGTTACCAGGGGAAGGGGGGTGGCGGGTGGGCACAGGGGGTGAGGAAAGCACTTGTGTGGTGACAGACAAGAAATAATGTACAACTGAAATTTCACAATGATGTAAACTATTATGAACTCAATAAAAAAATTAAAAAAGAAAAACCAAATCTAACCAAACAAAAAAGCCTTTGGAATATTTTAAAAAGGTTTCAAGACCATCATGGGGTCATATACAATTTTTTGATGTGTGGGACACTGGGAGGACTAAAATCATCATGGCAACATCATTGAAAATGGAAGCTGATGGTCCCACCCTCATCTGATGAGATGCGAAGAAAGAGCCCACCAGACCTTTTATGCTTGACACCCTCTACAAGTTGCCACTCTGGTTTAGAGCTGAAAAATCCCCACTACCTGGGAGAGTCGGAAGACAAGAAGATAGTCTCTCGGCTTACTAAGGTGAATCAAAACCTCCCCAATGGAAACATTTTAAAACGTGATGGTTAGGTTCTGAAGTGCTGACAGCAAAATTACAGTTTAAATAGGTTTGGTGGTCTGAAGACACAGTGACTTACCATTTCTCATTTTTGGGACCAAACCCATTTTCATGTCAGGAAATTCCTCGATTGGAAGATTTAATGAGAGGAAAAGTTAATATTAACCATGGAAGAGATTTTCCTATTCATTTACCTGCCTGGCTTGTATTCTTAGATTTATACATGTATAAATTTATGCATGCCCTTTCTAAGGTATGAATACTTGACTTAAAAGTGTACTGTATGAGCTCTCAAGCCATGAAAAGACATAGAGGAACCTTAAATGCATATTACCAAGTAAAAGAAGCCAATCTGAAAAGGCCGCATACTGCGCAAGCCCAACTATATAAACATTCTAGGAAAGGCAAAATTATGGAGACAGTAAAAATACCAGTGGTTGCCAGGGGTTGAGGGGAGGGAGGGATGAAGAGGCAGAGCCCAGTGGATTTTTAGGGCAGTGAAAATACCTGGTACGATACTATAGTGGTGGATACGTGTCACTATACATTTGTCCAAACTCAGAAAATGTACCACACCAAAAGTGAACTCTACTATAAAAATGAAGACTTTGGGTGATGACGTGTCAATGTAGGCTCATCAGTTGTAACAAATGTACCACTCTGGTGGGGATGTTAATAATGGAGGAGGTATGCACGTGTGCAGGCAATGGGTATATGGGAAATCTCTGTACCTTCCCCTCAATTTTGCTGTGAACCTAAAACCACTCTACAAAATAAAGTCTACTAAAAAGAAGTACAAGGGGCTACACAGGTAAGTGTATCTCTCAGTACCCCTCTCTCCTAGCGCCGCATCCCCTGCAGGCAAGAACCTGTTTCTTGGGTATCTTTGAAGAGGTATTCTCGATATGTGTTAAGTAGGATGTTGTAATGAGACCCTTTCTGTCTTTGTAGCCTCAAAGGTTGGGAGAAAAGAGTAGATACCACATCCACTCACATTCCAAAGAGAGTGGCTGCCTTCCAAACAGGACTTACAACGGCAAGAATCAAAACCAGGCTTTGTGAACCGTGGCCAATCTGGAGAGTATGAAAGCCGTGATGTTGAAGTCGCCAGAGGAGGATATTCTTTGGAGAGGATTGTGTTATTCCTGTCTGTTTTCCTCATGCCCATGGGGGTTAGGAGGATGGTGTTTCCCCTTACCTTAAACCAAAAAAAAGCCTTCAATAAGACCACTTCTAAGGCTGAGCTTGAAAGCATCTCTCAGAGTTTGGGGGAAATGGTGGAAGGGTGTCTGATGCACACCTGGGAAATCTAAGGCGAGAAGCTATGGCTTTAGGACCAAAGAGGCAGAATGGAGAGGTCACACTTCCCTGGGAATGAGTTGCACTGACGCAAGGACCAAGTGGATTCATGGGCAAAAACTAGATTGAAATTGGTTTAAAACAACATCACCCAATTTGGCTGTCCAGAGGGCCATGAGACCCTAAGAGTGTGAGTGTGTGTGTGTGACCACAGACACCCAAGGGCTGAGGGTTAGGTGTGTAAGCGGCCTGCTGGAGAAAAGCATCAACCACATCACAGGAGTTGCAGTCGGATCCCCTAGCTGGGGCATCTCTGAGAAAACCATAGAAGAGGTCAGGAACCAGGACGAGAACTGCAGCTCCTAGAAGGCCCCCAGAACTAGAATCACCTGTTCGTCAGTCAGGTATGACCTTTGCTACCTCTTACTTCTCCCTCTTCTGTCAACCGTGGAGGAGCCAGGGGAGCTCAGAGGAGGAGGGTGAGGCAGGAGACCAAGGCTGCGTCGTGGGGAAGTGTCGGCCCATCCCTTCCTCATGCTGAACCCAGAACTGAGCCAGAAGGAGCAGCTCTGGTGACACAGGGGTTTGGAGTTTCAGTTATTTCATTGGACTGGCCAATTTAATTACAAAAATGAAACTATTATTGGAAATAACAGTGTTGAGAGGACTTAATTTTCTTTGAGTGACCAAAAAAGTTATGCTCTTGCACAAGATTTCCTCCAAGGTTGAAGGGAATAGGGAAGGCAAAGACTTGTTTCCTTCTTGTTTTTTACTGACCTGTTCTCGAGTGTGACCCACTGGACAGATTGTTACCAAAGCCTATACATGGATGCTCCTTGCACTGCTCCACACTTTCCTTTTTTATCATAACACAGCTGGGTGGCTGTTCCATATTAGTGCACATAAATTTACCGCATTCTTTTAAACAGCTGCATCGTAGGCCATTTTAAGGATGTACAGTGGCTTATTTTAACTGTTCCGTTTTAGGGTGTTGTCAATATAGTGATGTCTTAATCTGTAAAGAAAAATGTGAACAAAATTAAAAAAAACACTTGAATGCTTCTACTCTACTTAAATAAACACACTTTATAAGTATCTCTTAATTTTATGTGAAATATATTTCCATTTTAGAGGAACTTTGTTAAAAAAAAAAGACCCTCCTTGCTAAGCTTCAGAGTAATTCACATCACACTTAACCATCTACTAGATAAGGGTTATTAGAAATTGAAAGCTGAAACTGAAAGCATTCAATATTAAGTAAAGCAATTACAATTAAATTAAATTCATTCTGGAACTCGGCTGAGCCACATAGAAACATTTTCCACCTGTTTCAAGTTATAATATTTTAATACTACCTAGGAGAGTCAAAGGAGATCAGTTATTTATTTTGAAATCACTTTTTGTCTTTTTAACAGTTCTGTGCTTATTATGTGTTGGACACTGTTCTAAGTTCATTACTAATGATAACTCACTTAATCCTGATAACAACCTAGGAAGTAAGTATTGTCTTTATACCCAGTTTACAGATGAAGAAACTGAGGCCCAGAGAAGCTAAGTAACTTGGCCAAGTCACATAGCTAGAAAGTGGCAGAGCAAGGATTTGAAGGCAGGAAGCCTGGCTCCAGGGTTCACGATGATAGTCACTACCCCACGCTGTCCCCGGCACATTGACCACAAGTCTGTGACATCACTGCCAGGAGCAAGACTTACGGAGTGCTTTCTTTCTTTCTTTCTTTTTTTGAGGAAGATTAGCCCTGAGCTAACATCTGCCACCAATCCTCCTCTTTTTGCTGAAGAAGATTGGCCCTGAGCTAACATCAGTGCCCATCTTCCTTTATTTTATATGTGTGGGACACCTGTCACACAACAGCGGTGTGTTGGTCCACACCCGGGATCCGAACCAGTGAACCCCAGGCTGCCCAAGTGGACCACGCAAACTTAACCACTGTGCCACCGCACCGGCCCCCCAGAGTGCTTTCTTAAATCCAAAAAGCATGAAAACACAACTGCACAAAGATACACGCACCCCTATGTTCATCACAGCCTTATCCACAATAGCCAAGACTTGGAAGCAACCTAGGTGCCCATCAATTGACAAATGGATAAAGAAGATGTGGTATATGTATACAATGGAATACTACTTAGCCATAAGAAATGATGAAATCCGGACATTTGTGACAACATAGATGGACCCTAAGGGCATTATGCTAAGTGAAATAAGTCAGAGGGAGAAAGTCAAATACCATATGATCTCACTCCTAAGTAGAAGATAAAAACAACAACAATCACACAGAGACAAAGATTGGATTGGTGGTAAACAGAGGGGAAGGGGGGAGGGGGAGGGTGAAAGGGGTGATTAGGTACGTGTGTGGTGATGGATTGTCATTAGTCTTTGGCAGCCCGGGGTTCACAGGATCAGGTCCTGGGTGGGGACCTGCACACCACTCACGAAGCCATGCTGGGCTTCTAAGTAATGGTTTATTACATATAAGTAGATTTGCCTAATAAATCCTCTGCTTCAGAGTTATCCAGAAGGTTGTATCCAACTCTTTGTTAGGTCACCTCAAGGCACAGTACAGTTTGTTAAGTAATACTAGTTTTCTAAAAAGAAATTAAATGTATTATAGTGGGTTACCAAACTACTGAATACACATGGAGCTACCTTTTAAAAATATTCCTGTCGAAAGGGTCCACATATTTTTTGTTACCAAAAACTCCTCTAACTAGAATTAAAAATAAAACTTTAAGGGATAACTGTTGAAATAAATAAATAATTTGGTAATTCCCTTTTGAAAATAAATGTAAATACTACCTTTTTAGTTGCTTAGTAAAATACTTATTACAAATAAGTTATGCTCAAAGTAAGTGTAGTGTATTAAAATATAGATATTCCTTAAAGATCTCTTTTTCTTGGATAAATTTACCCTCTTGGACAAAAAGACTCCAGAATGTGGCAGGTGGATGGTGCCTGTAGTCTCACAGCCTAAGCAAAACAAACTTAGGAACAGATTTTAAAAAATAGACTAAGTGTTTTCTAAGCTACTGCTTGCCTACATTAGCCAGCTGGAGCCTTTAAATAATTTAATCCCTACAACTGCCAGCTCCAACTGGAAGCCGTAACGGGGCCTGGGCTTACTGAGGCTCCGACAGGTGCGGCCTGACCCCGCCTCCCCGGCTCCCCGGCGGATCTGTGACCGTGCGTGTGGAGGACACGATGTTCTTAACCCAACAGGGCGCTAATCACAGTGATCCAGATGCCTCTTGTCCTGTCTTTCACTATCATAGTACCTAAGACATTCCTCTATTTGTTTTCAGAGAAATACCTAGCACAATGTGTGGCGTATGAGTTTGTTTTCAATGTTGCTTGTCTCAGCAAGATCCCTCTTACTATAGTATAAGTTTTGGAAAGCAAATTAATTAATAATTATTTTCTTCCTATTGTTATTGCTTTTTCTACTCAACTGAATTTTCTATATTAGTGCTTACCGAGTACCATTAGAGTTGCTCAGGTTTTTTTCCTTTTGCACATCTATAAGCAGTATAAGAATGTACTTGTTGCTTATGTATTTAAATATATCTATAGAGAAAATTCAGACATACCTTTTATATAATTGAACTGAAATAAGTTTTCCTATCAAGTTAAATTGAAAATCAAAGAAGAAACGACCATTATCATGCCCTTAGTACTCAACATATTACAATATTATAATAAGATCTTTGCTAGACACGCAGCAAAAAGAAGTTTAAAAACCAATAGCTATCTTGATATCCACATGCAAAATAATCAGTTTGGACCCTTACCTTATACCATATACAAAAGTTAACTCAATGGGGCTGGCCTGGTGTTGTAGCAAGTTCATGCGCTCTACTTCAGCAGCCTGGGGTTTGCTGGTTTGGATCCCAGGCAGGGACCCACACACTGCTTATCAAACCATGGTGTGGCAGGCGTCCCACACATAAAATAGAGGAAGATGGGCACAGATGTTAGCTCAGGGATAATCTTCCTCAGCAAAAAGAGGAGGATTGGTGGCGGATGTTAGCGTAGGGCTAATCTTCCTCAAAAAAAAAAATAAATAAAATAAATTCAAAATGGATTAAAGACCTAAATGTAAGATCTAAAACTATAAAACCCCTAGAAGAAACCATAGAGGAAAATCTTCAGGACACTAGGTTTGGCAATGATTTCTTGGATATGACGCCAAAAGCATGGGTAACAAAAGCAAAAATAGACAAATGGGACTACATCAAACTTTATAACTTCGTGTATCAAAGGGAACAATCAACAGAGTGAAAAATCAGCTTATAGAAAGGGAGAAAATATTTGCAAATCATATATCTGATAAGAGGTTAATATCCAAAATATATAAAGAACCCTTACAACTTAACAATAATAAAACCAGATAAGCCAATTAAAAAAACGGGCAAAGGACTTGAACAGACATTTCTCCAGAGAAGATATACAAATGGCCAACAAGCATATGAAAAGATACTTAACACTACCAATCACAAGAGACGTGTACTTCAAAACCACAATGAGATATCACCTCGCACCTATTGGGATGGCCACTATCAAAAAACCAAAAAATAAAACATATACAAATAAATATATAATACATATATAAAATAAACATATATAAATAAAACAAAAAATAAAAAATATCCTTGCCAGTATTGGCAAGGATATGGAGAAATTGGAACCCTTATTTACTATTGATGGGAATGTAAAATGCGGGAGCCATTATGGAAAACACTATGGAGGTTTCTCAAAAAATTAAAAATAGATTTATGAATATGAATTACCTATAATTCAGCAATTCCACTTCTGGGCAAATATCCAAAAGAATTCAAAGCAGTATCTCAAAAAGATATTTGCACATCCATTTTTGTTGCAGCATTATTCACAGTGTCCAAGAGGTAAAAGCAACCCAAAGGTCCAGCTATGAATGAATGGATAAAGAAAATGTGGTATATGCATACAATGGAATATTATGTAGCTTCAAAGAAGGAAATCCTGTTACGTGCTACAACACGGATGAACTTCAAGGACATTATGCTAAGTGAAATAAGCCAGTCACAAAAGCATGAATACTGTATGATTCCAAGTAAATGAGGTACTCAAGTTACCTCATTTTGCAAGATGAAAAAGTTTTAGAAGAGATATGTTGTGAAGAGATATGTTGCACAACACTGTGAATAATACTTAACGCTACTGAATTGCACACTTAAAAATGGTTAAGACAGGGGCCCAGCCCTGTGGCGCAGTGGTTTAAGTTTGCATGTTCTGCTTTGGCAGCCTGGGGTTCACTGGTTCGGATCCCGGGTGTGGACCTACACACCGCTCATCAAGCCATGCTGTGACAGGCGTCCCACATATAAAATAGAGGAAGATGGGCACAGATGTTAGCTCAGGGCCAATCTTCCTCAGCAAAAAAAAGAGGATTGGATTGGTGGTGAATGTCAGCTCAGGGTAATCGTCCTGAAGAAAAAAATGGTTAAGATGGTAAATTTAATGATGTGTTTTTTACCATAATATAAATAAGTAAATAAAGATCAATAGCTGACCTATAGCTGCCTTTCTCGCAAAATTCTTTAACACTTTTTTCTCCCCCCACCAAAGGTTTATAGAATTATTTTTCCAACTTTTTATTTTGTTATACTTAAAAACCAAAACACTTGTAAGAACTGTAAATTGAATACTCATCTAGATTCATTTAATTGTTAACATTTGCCACATATGCTTTTTCTCTCCCTCTCTTCCCTATGTATACACATATATACATGTATAGATGCACACATATACATATATAATTATTTTGCTCAATTATTTACAGGTTAGTGGCAGACATCATGACACTTTACTCCTAAATATTTCAGCCTGTATCTTCCCATAACAAGGATATTCTCCTGCACAGTCTTAACGTAATTATTACACTTGTTAAAGAAAAAAATATTCATGACACGTGTCAAAGACACTAAGGCAGACTTTATTCAGGAAAACTACTACAATCGGGTTTT